CTTTTTGGAGAGCTGACAGATGTGTCAATTCATCACATATCCTGAGCCTACCGCTCCTCAGCACAGTGCAGGTGCTTGGTAACTAAATAACAGGCATTTTACAGCCAGCAAAGATGTACAGAAAATACAGAAGCCATGGCGCCTGTGATGCTCAAGCCTACTCTCAAGCCTGGTTTTCACTTTGCAGTGCAGAAGAGATTGCCTGTGTGAAATACAGAGACAAAAAATTCAAAGGTATTCAATTCAAGGTCTTGGGCCCAAAGGAGAGAGTATTATGAGATGCAAACCTGTATTTTTTTCAATTTCAAACTAAGTTTCTATTAAGGAAAAAGCATCTTTAAGTACTTCTTTTCTGGAAAGAAATGTCACTCTCACATCTCCATTCCTAATCCCTGTGCTGAATGTAGACGCTTTTCTCACTCTTCTTAAGAAAACATCTGCTTCCTTCAAAAATGCCTGAAAGTTTACCTGATCCAGAAATGGAAAAAAAAACAAGTGCAGGACCTCTCTTTAGTACTTATGTGATTTTATTTAGTGCAGGAAATAATTCACCATAAATTATCTTGGAGCTGTGCTCAAGCACTGGTTTTCACAAATAAGACTGAAGAAAACTCTTGTTGGCTGACACATATTCACATCTATTTAAAATTGCTCATTTTGGGTTTTTTAAAGTAGTTTAGCTGAAGTGCTTTTGTGAAACATAACTACATAAAAATGGAAACATTCCTGCCTGCTTGCATATGTTATCACTCTCTTCATTAACAGAAGTGTATTACAATCAGTCCTACTAGTGCTCGAGAATCACTGGCATTCTGTTACCAAAATGAATGATACAAGTTTCAAGATGATTGAGCTAATTTACCAGCCTCCTGCTGCTATTCCATCCACACCTTTCCGGACATATGTTGGATTTTTTACTCTTTTAATCTCTTGTAGCCATGAACTGAGTCAAAACCGTAAGCAATTTTTTAAAAAAACCAACAAATTAATACCTCATATTTAGAGAACAAGGAGACACAATTCAGAGTAAGAAAAGTTTCTAAAGTTGCTCTTACAGCTAAGTCAAGACTAGATGGAGCTTTAAACTTCATTATTCTGACTCGCATTGCCCAAACAAACACACACATAGTGTGAATACAACATACCTGAACACAGCGAAGAACCTCACAGTTGTGAGGGCACCATTACTATATAAAGATGATCTAACAATTGCTAAGAATTGGTTTTAACTCCACAAAATAAAACCCAGGTGAAATACAACTTGTATAATACTGACGTTTCCTTCAGAAATGTAGTCAGGATGAAACTGAATACAAACCTTGCATATTTCTCTGCTGTATCGGACCCTGTAACGTCACATATACAAAGAGGAAAAGTTCAAATTTATTTCCCATACATTCAATATTACGTTGCAACTGCAATCCGCTGTGCTCCTCCAGTTTCCCAGGCTTGGCAGCGCCTCCTGACGCGACCCTGTGCCTGCTTTTGTCAGCCACGGGGCAATGCTCGCTGAGAAACAACACGGAACCAGATGCAAGTTTTACAGAGTAGAAATTGGTTTAAGAACAGAGAGGTGTGTTCAGACTTCATCCACAGAGAAAGCACGTTTGTGCTTTTAAGAACACTCGACTTCACATAATCGACAGTTTTTCCTCCCTTGCTGTGTGTACAAACTTTAACATGGAAAGAATACAAGTTACTTCCATCTTAGTTTTTAACAATCAAAATCTGACACTCCTCTGAGACCAGCAAGTGAAAATAAATGGAAACTCCATCCAGTAAGGTTTTCTAACTATCTTGCATCAGATTTTTAAAAAATATTTCACATTTTTCATTTTTCTTTTTTAAAAAGGCACGAAAAATATCACTTAACACATCTAGGTAACCTATCTTTACAGTAACAGTATTTTTTAAAAAAAACACCAAACACAAAGTACATGTTCTCGCAATTAGTCTGCTTATTGTAAAGTATGCATGGCTGCAGGCAATCCTTTAAGCAAAGTTAGAGTTGGAATTGAAGATAAAGTGTAAAGAGACAAGCATCTAAACTACAGGTATTTTCAGACCGTCTGCTGGTGTCCTTGCATTCATTCCATGGTGGACACAAACCATCACCAAACTCCTTTTTGTTCCTTTATGTGACATTGTTAGAGAAACCTGCTATGGCTGACAAATTTAAAGGTCCGTCACAGTTCTCTTCCAAACTTGAGATCTGCTTGGCAGTGCCTCAGGAGGGAGATGTCGGTCGCAGACAGCGGTATTTATAATAAATCTAATTAATTAAGTTCAAATGTTTGTCTTTACAGGAAGACATAAGTAGGAATCCACGGAGTTCGCAAGGACATCTCACCATTTCTAAGACTGTCAATTACACAATTAAGTATAATATATGGTATTTCTGAACTTCATAGTGAAATGACCAGGTATTTTGAAAAAAAAACCCCAATCAACTGAACCAAAAAAGTCCCCCAAACACATTCAAAACTCCATGACAAATTAAAAAGACTGTTAACATAAGACTTTGACCAACGCAAACATTTAACTTTGTAAATATGAAAGCATCAACAGTATCTTTAGTTACATAGGTATATGTATTAAAAAATGGATTTAGGTCTTCCTGTAGAAGGAGGACACAGAAATTTGACCCACGCCCAAGTCCTGCCTACATAAGATTACTTTGCAGTAAGTCCTTTACAATAAAGACTTTTGGTCCACGGTCACTAAACGATTCAAGGGAACCCACTGATTTTTTGGGTAATACGTCATCGTCCGTATGACATATGTCACCTTTGCCTCAAATATAAACAGCACAAAATTCTCACACATTCTTTACAGGGACATACATTCACTTCCTGTGCTTTTTGATAGAGCAAAGGCTGATTTCCCTTAATGAATTTGACTGCCCCAGCATTTTCAGAAAAGCACTTTATCAGTAACTTCAAGAAGAATAGCAGTGGACCCAGAATTACTAAGTTTGAATCCTTCATCGCTTTCACAACAGACTGGGTAATATGTAACGAGTATGCAACCTGACTTTTTAGAAAACTAGCATGATGGAAAGAGTTGCCTTATTTCCTCATCACCCGCAACTGGCAGGGAACAGCTGATTTGAGAATGTCTTGTTTTCCAAAACAAGAGTGCACAGGTGAGGGGGGCTCATCTCCCTGCACAGATGTCTGTCACATGGTGTCCTCCTAAACCCGCATGCGTTACCTTCTCAGCCTCAGGCAAACGAAGCTGGGACCTAGAACCATCAGCAAGTCTGTTTAAACAGGTATGTCCCACAGCAGTTTGGCTTTGCAGAGTCACAGAATACTAATCAGACATGCAGATTTCCTCTCCGATGAAGTTACATGCTGTCATATAAACATGCCTAAGCCTACCTCATACCAAGCAATTTAACAGTGACGAAAGGGGGTCCTGAAAAGTTCTTCATGTGTTTATTGTGAATTACTGAAACAAAATAACGCCGGCAGAGTCATTTTCGCCTTCATACACACTGGAACAGTAAATTTTCGACCAATCCCGTATCATAGCACGCTATCACAATCAGCCTCTTCTTCTTCGCCGGGGTGTTCTATTTAAAATCCCTTATTTTTCAGAGAAACTAAACCAAAGATCTCTGTCTTTGAAAGAAGCATATTACAGCTAAGCAGATTTTTAATCAATTTACAATAACCAGCCATTCATATACCCCAGAATGTATTTCTGTATCTCAGAATTTATTTGCACACCTCTATAGAAGTATTTATTTGAAAGGTTGTCTAAAAAATTTGCTCATGGTCACAAGGAAATCAGTGGCAGTCAAGGACAGAGAGGAAACCTAGAGCCTTTGCTCTAGTAATCAAAATATATGCAGTTTATACTTAAAATTACAAAATCTGTTGCACTGTCAAAGCTCTTTCATAAATTTAACACTTATGAGGCAAAAAAGAAGGTTTATAAACTAGTGCACTGAGGCTTTAAGATGGTTCAGATTATTCAAGAACAGCAGGGAATTAGAAACCTTAGGAAAAAAATCTCAAGAGTTCTTCATCTGAAAACACCGCTGCTAAAAACGTGGCATTTTGAAAAAAACAAAGGTTCAGCACTAACATTGATTACAAATGCAGAGATAAGCACTCCAAATAACAGACAGTACTCCCTTGTTATTGTCTGGTTCTGCTACCAGCTGCACTAAAAAGAACATTCTCACTTTATATTTATGATATTTCTCTTTAAAAGTCATGCTTATAAAAGATAAAATGGAGCCAAAACAGACCTGAAGGCCTGCTTATATTGCTACTTTAAAAAAAAAAAGTGAAAACACCTAACTATTGTCTGTAAATTAAATCTGTATCACAAAACTGAAACAGATAAAGGATGTGTAGCTTTTTTATTTCTTTATATCTACATAATGGATTCCAGACCACTTCTTTCAGGTTATCCAAATGGAAAGTTTTCCTACTGTATATATTACACAAAGTGACAAACACCACTTCCCTACAAAGAATTATCTGCTTCTCAGACATGGCAAGTCAGTTCACAGCCACTTCCACGCAACACAGCCATAGGTAAACACCACAGTTTGAATTCAACTCCAGTGAGTAGTGTACATGTAAACAGAACCTTCTGAACCAAAACTAACTTTAAAACAACCAAAAAACCCCAAAATCTCCATCCCAAAAACCCAAACATGACACACCCCACCAAATCCCACAATACATTATTCCATGGTTTCCTGTCATGCCCAAAGCTCCATTTCTGGCAAATTTATCCTGGTGCAAAAATTTAAAGAAAAAAAAAAGGAAGAAAAAGCTGAAATGCGGTATTCTGCATGTCTGATTTCTAGTGCCATGAACTCACCATAGCCTGAATTTGTTACAAGTAATGGTAACTGTTAGTAAGAGAAATACTAAAGTTCCCTTAACACTTCCTTATGCTGCCTATTTGGAAAGCATCAGTGCCAAAATAGTGTCCCGGGACCACGTCTGCGTTAACGTCATATAAAAACTCACCACTTTTACAACCATGTTTCAATTTAATTATTGTACACAGGTTAACAAAAACGTATCACAAGTGAAACTAAACACTGGATTTAACAAAAACAATATTCAGAATGGTACAACACGTGTTCATTTTCTCCAGGAAATAATGTTACAAGTGTTCATCTTAGGACAATTTAGCCACACTAGACAGAAGTTCTGTTAAAATGCAACCGTGGTCTACTAAGCCACTTATTTTACCACTACAGAATATTTGAAGTCAGAGTCCTACGGCCAAGGCTTAAAAATCATTTAAGATTGAAACCCTGAAACGTCTTACAGTCAAAATGACAGTATTTAAAAAAACCACAACAAAATAACCCCAAAACAATTAATTAAAAGGCTGCTGTATATAGTTTTATCCTCTTCATAGCACTCTCTATTCATATAACTGCTCGTATCATTGGTAATAGGGTCTGTATCTGGCTTGATCAGGGTGGTGTGGTCCAGGAAGCGGGGCCTGAGCAGGAGGCCCTTGCATTCTTGGAGGTGGAGGCGGCCCCCGTGGAGCTGGCCATATCCCTGGACTCATTCCCCCAGGCTGTGTGAAAGGGGGACTAAGAGTTCCTTGATCTTCACTGAACTGTGGCAAAGAGTTAGGATTATAGTGGTGGGGAGGGGGTGCATTTACATTTACTGGCGGGCCTCCATGCTGAGGAGGGGGAGGTCCTGGAGGAGGATGATTCATGTATGGTGGCATCTGGGCAATTATATGTCCAGGTGGCGGGGTTATTGGAGGAGGAGCAGAGGTCATTGGTGGTGGAGGAGCTTGGCTATATACCATGTGAGGAGTACCTGCTGCCTGGGGAGGATGCTGCAGCGGATGGCTTATTGGTGGAGGTGGTGGTGGGGGTGGTGCATAATGTTGCTGTGGAGGCATAATATGATGAGGGTGCGATACCACTGGTTGACCCTGGTACTCGGGATGATGATGAGCAGGTGCAGGGGCAGGTGGAGGTGGTTCTCGAGCACCTGAATTCGAATCATCCTGAATAGGGACAGTTATCAAATTGCTGTGTTTTCTCGTTGAAATGCGGAAGGTGTCCTGACTGACTGGGCGAGGTGGCGGTGGAGCCATTGACATCTCCGCAGGAGGCGCACGAATGTCTTCGTGTGGCTGGTTATAATGCTCATGTGGCACATGCTGTAAAGGAGGTGGTGGCATCATGATATGCTGCTTTGGAGGAATGTGGCTCATATGATGTTTCTCAGGTGGCATTATGAAACGCTCAGGAATCTCGGCAGGTGGTGGGGCAATAGGAGGATGTACAGGTTCAATTGGAGGACGAGTAACAGGCTTTCCAGCTCTCATATGACGGTGGTTGATGTGAGCTTGTAAGTCCCTCTGTGACAGGTAAGTTCTCTTGCACCCTTGAACAATGCTACACATGAAGAGAGACCCTCGGACACACTGCTCAATGCGCTGCACAGGTTCATTACAGCTAAATCAGAACAGAATATTGGTTTATTGTTATCAGAGAGAGCAATCCGCATAATTTTTTTTTTTTTGCTAAAAGCCAACCAGTTTACCATAATTATCCAAATTAGAACCGGTAATTTTCTTCCCACCATAGCAATGAAAGAAACATTTCACTGATTTTGAAGTTTATCTAGTTTTTAAGTCTCCCAACATAACTGTGAAAGAACACAAAAATTTAATGAGGTGGAAATTTATACAGAGCATCACTCTCAAAAATTCCTTCTGCACGTTAAGACTTACAGAGAGTCACTCTCACTAAGTAAAATAAATGGCCATTTATTCATTTCCCAATCAGAGCAGCGACAGGTCATCTACGCAAATACTTAAACAGCAAAGTAAACGCTGATCTCTTACAGTCCCAAAATACGGGATACGAAGCTACAATCAAGTGGTGTAGTGGAACACTACTGCCTCTGCTAAATGCACATAAATGAGAACCACGCTAATACAATGTCTGAAGTAAGATATTGAAGTTATTTTCCTACATTTCCTTTAGTAACACATCTTGAGATAACTTACCCTGGACACATCTTGTCTCCCTTCTTCTCATGCAGTATAGCACAGTCATAGCAGAAAACATGCTTGCAAGGTATCTAGAGACAAAAAATGGCTGCTGAGACATCGTATACAGATACCCCTCTCATGTGGCAGAGCAGTTACTAGAAATTGTGTGCTGGACAGAGGAATAGAAGTAACTAAGTTGCCTATGAGGTGAACAGGAATAGTGTTAGGTAGCAGTTTACAGCATCCTTGCACAGAAGCTTTCCAAAACAGTTTGTGCTGAGTTAGGGATTTTTAGGGGGTAGGTTTGTTTGGTTTTTTAAGAGTTGGCAGAAATGCAGACGCAAAGTTTAAGTCTTGCAGTAATACCAACACTGAACATTTACAAAAGCTACATATCCAATCTAATTACACTTGTGTCACTGGCAAGGAAGGAAAGTTTTAAAAGCATTAACTGTCATTAAGTTAGATCCTGAAGCCTGTTACATCACACTTAGGTTTCTAAATTAATCTCAGGGATTTTGTTACACTAATTTTGAAGGGACATAAAAGTGAACAGTGTTTTCTAACTTCATTCCAAGTCTTTAATTGAGATAAAGAGCTTATTTTTAAAGCTGTGTAAGGTCAAAATCCACTGAAGATTTTTTTATTGATGACTGTGTTTTGATTTTCAGTTTAACATTTTCAAGCTGACTTTATTAAATCAGAGGGTAAATTGAAATGAGGCAGACAGATGGAACAAAACCATTTCAGCAGTGAAGGCCCCCAGTTTAATCCTGATATTCTTCCGCTGTTCATTCAGAGGCCTGCTGAAATCAGCAACCTCTGGAGGCCTCATAGACACAGAGTAAAACCTAATTTTACCTAAACAGAAGCCATGGCTGCATCTTCCATTGATAATTTCACTCACCATGCGTCCATACATTTTGATGGGCAATCCACATTTATCACAGAAATGGACTGGTGTATCATCCTTTTCTCCCAGCAAGTTTATCTGATAGGATAGAGAAGGGGGTAGGAGAACAAAATCCAACATCACTAAAGCTTCTCATTTCCATTATCATCCACACACACACATTATTTCTGAATCAGCTGAGAAGGAAGCAAGAACACCACTAACATCAGAAAGCAGAAAATGTATTTTCAGTCAGTCAAAAGTAATGGATGCACTTTTATTTAATAAGGTATCTACCAGGACTACCTAATTTTGGTAACATTTACAAAGATTCACAACTTCCCACCCATGGCTTTACCTTATAGTCCCAAAAGATGGGTCCAGGGAATCTCCTTTGATTGCCAAACATTTCACCTCCTTTGCACTCGTATCGCTCCTCTTCGTTATAATCAAATTCTTCTGTGGAAAGAAGAAAGAGAAGAAAGACACGAGCCAACCACAACACTTTCCTAACTGACACCGGCTGCTATTAGGAGCATGCAATTCTATACTGAAATCATCAAGAAATGCCACAGCACTTATACTCTGCTGGGCCCATTCTACAGAAAGGTATAGTCAAAAACAGTAAGACAGCCTGTTTCGGGAACGTGCACCGTTTCACCCTTATAGTGCAGCAGTAGCCGGAAATTTGAAACTTGTTTTGCACTTGGACAGAACCTCGGACTCTAAGCCTCCAAGGCTGTATAAAGTCTTGAACAACGCTGCAGAATCACATGCTTCCCTACTACAGGGCTAGTATTTATATCAATTTACCTTCATCACCAGCTTGTGTCTTTGAAGGCATCCTGTTCATATTTCTTGGAGCTCGAGGTGCAGGTTTGGTTTTATTCGTCTGTTTTGAGATAAGCTTTATAGGGATTCTTCTACGAACATCAAGACCACCCAATGATCCTGAACTATTTGTTCCTTGCAAATCATTGTCTGTGAAACAAAAAAAGTTTTGTGCAATTTTTCACTTATCTAATGGTCTCTAAAGAGGCTAAATATTAACAGAAGAGTTACAAGAAAAATCATTTTTAAAGCTTGCTTAAGACTCATACAACACATCAAAGTTTAATCACTAGAAAATAAGTATTTCCACATCCAATTTCTTCTACAAGTCAAGTCACAAAATTGTATTGGGAACAATCATGATTTTAGGAAATCTACTTCTAAAAATAAAGCTATTTATTTTAAAATAAGTTAACTAGTCTGTCATTTCTCCACAACAAGAAAAAAAATTAATTGTATAGCTCCTTTCACAGCATGAATAGTACCAAAGAGTCAATTCTTTGTACAACCTTGACAACATAGAATTTATTATGAGAAAAGATAATTTCTACAATTTATGTAAATTGTTTATTAAAGTTTGAAGGAAACTAGTTTAGCATAAAGCACCACAAAAACATCAGTACTTAAGAGTAGTAGTATCCTTGCTAAACTGAAAATTGTTGTTCCCCGCTACATATAGAATTCTCTTTAACCAGATTCAAATCTGAGTACAAGGGGAAAGGAAGCAAGAAGTAGCCTGGCACATGCATCAGTAGATGCAGGCTCCAAGAGATAATCTAGAGGGCATATTGCAGCAAGCAACACCAATGCAGGGGGTATAACTCCCCCAACTTCCAGTGAGTCTACCTTAACCTGACTTTTGTACGAACGAGATGCTGTGCAGTGGTTTATGTCCTTCACGAATCCACCGCTCATTTTCGTTTCAACTGAAAATGCCATTTTGACAGGCGTTTCAAAGCAGTACATGCTCAGCCTCAAAGGGGTGGGCCCCAAGCTGTTACAGTGCAAGCCCTCCTGTTCCACTCCATCTGGCACTGCAGCCCTGGAACGATCGCTGCGGCCCCAAAGAATTACAGCACAGTGGCAGCATCTGAACACTGAAATTTGGGCCATACTAGTGTAATTCTGCACAATGCTTCGCACTACTGCCCCTCAAAGCCTATAATCACCCCACACAGCACAACAAGTTGGAGGAAAAACAAGAAAAAAAAAAAGGAAAAAGGAGATTGCTCTAAGTTGTTCAGCAGCTACCACCAAAACTAGGAACTGCGACAAAGTTTCAAATTAGGATGCTGCTCCGACAGTTACTTTATCTCAAAATCAAGAGCCCTCAACTTTCTCTGATAGATCAAATGTGCTTATTCCTCTTAGCGCTGTGGTTGACATGTTTCATCCTAAAAGACAATATGTAAAAACACAAAACCAATAAAGCCTGGTTCTACTTTTGTTCATTTGTTGCTTTTGTTTAGGCTGTCCTGTTGGCTAAACACATGACCCAGCAAACATACAACTATGACACCAGGCTGTCCCAGAAACTGCTGGACTGGAGCATCAGAGATAATAATGCTAAAGCTGTCAATTTTCCACTTGTTGGGAAATCCAGTTTCATATCAGAACACACAAAAACACACCACCACAGACCAGAAAAAGTCACCACAGGGCCCCAATCCATTTGGAAATAGGGACAGCTAAACCAAATTTAAAAAAAACCAAACAACCCTGTTTATTATTTAGCCCATTGAACTGCCAAGAGGAAACAATTAAATTCTGACACTTTTCTTCTATATACCTCTGTAAGCTAGGAATATTTACTTGAGTTAGCTACTCAACTAATTCAAACTAGCAAGTTTATTAGTCATTCATGTTTCATGGAAAGATAATAAATTCCAGTCTGTGTAAGCATAACCAGTAGGATTAAGTCCAGAAAAAAAAACACAAACAAACAAAAAACCCCACATTGTTAAGACTACTTAGAAAAGCTCTAACTAGAAGCGATATTTCCTCCTGAACTGTCACCTTCATCAATTTTTCTTAAGTTTTAATATATTTAAAAAAAAAAATACAGCTCAAATACTATACCTTACACATAAAAATTTATAATACAACTTTTGCTGAGAGGAAGAAAAAAAAAAAACCCACAACCCAGGTCCACTCTTCTATTCGCTAGACTGCACCAGCAGGCTAACCAGCGAGGTACCAAAGCTACAAAACCAAATCGAAGCACGCGAGAAAAGCTTCCAACCCAGAGCACAACAACTCTCTTTCCTCTCCAGAAAACACATCGTCGGCCCCGATCCCGGGAAATGCCGC